ATTTTTTGTTTTTTTAATGTTATGAAGTTATGTGATAAATGCATTTTGACAATAGGAAATGGAAGAGAGGTTTGATTGTTGTTTGTAATGTTTTGACCGCGGGAAGATGAACTTTGCAAAAGTGCTTATTTGGTTGGGAAAAATAGAACTTCTGACTCCAAGCATACCTGACCCGAAAAAGAGTTTCCGCTATTGATGTAGCCTCTTGTCGATATTTCTAGACTTGCCGCTACCTACTAGAAAAAATCCATCAAGATAGATTGAATCGACGACTTATACTTAAACGAAAGGTTCGATGTAATTGACGAAGGAGGAGTTCAAGAGAGGAAATGCACATGGGTCTCCTTGAAGAACAAATTCTAACAAAACGACGGAAATCTCCAATCGCATTCCACGATTAGATGTTTAGATTCATTGGAAACTACGGGGTTTCCTTCCTCTGGACCTCTTACCTCACTAACCCCCATGTTGGATATTTAGAGTCAGTTGGATCAGAACCAGCAGCAGATCCTACTATTAGTTTATTAGTTTATGATCTCTGCCTTTCTTTACTATGTTCCTATCTATCTATATCTCTCGTGTACAAAAATAATCAAAATGGGCTGGTTTAAGGACGGAAGCTCCCGGTCTGAACCCCGTCGCTCGTCTTATAGAGGTGTGTGTGCCAGGGGAATAGGGGGCAGTGGGGAGATAAGCACTTTTGAGTTACAGTTTATGCATATTCCTATATTGCGGATCTACTGTTGGAAGCTCATGTTTTCACTGTCTACTCTCTATATGGGCCCTCTATACAAGTTTTTAGGGATGACACCTAAGGCTGAGTCAGTTTGCAAAGGGGACACTAGTTTAAGGAGAGGAACGCTCAATGCGCCCCATTCCCTTCCACAACCGGACTTGTTTATTTAACCTAGTTATGAAGCCTTCACCAGTGGCTCATAATCTTCCACTTAGAATCTTGTATACGAGGCGATTCACATGCCAGACTTTCTCACGGATTCATATTATGATGTGATGTTATTACATGGCCCAAATAGTTGGTTATGTCAGGTTTCAGTTTCTAGATCTAATAAACTATGTCTTCTAGGCCTAGGTGGAGGCGACCTCCTATTTTTTATTTTTTTGTAAATGTCATTTTAGTTTTATCCACAATTAACTAAATAAATGATGTTTTAGATTTTTTTGTACATACTTTTTCATCTACATATATATATATATATACAGAATTACCATTTACTAAAAGTAGTAGCAAAAATTTAGGAAACATTTAATGCATGCTATTTTTGGAAATCTTTTAAATACATGCATTAATTGGTTCTATTTACACGTTTTTAGGGATGAAAACGGTCGGGAACGGTCGGAAAACCCCAAAACCATTCCCTTTTCCTGTATTTTTTTACCGGGAACGAGATCGGAAACGGTTGAGCCGGACGGGAAAACAAAATCGATATTACGGGATATCGGGAACGAAAGAGTTCGATCGGGAACTAGCCAATTACGGTCGGGAATCGGAAACACTATACGGTATAATACATGTAACAACTTCAAACATTAAGCACGAAAAGATAATTCCAGCTATGCATAAGCGAACACCAAGTTCTAATATAACATCCAACATGGAAACATATAACATTAACAGCAGCAACATCCAACATGGCAACATATAACATTCCAGCAAGGCAGCAAGCTAGCCAATAGCTAGCAGCAACAAACAAGCAGGCACCACTGCACCAGCAAGTGCAAGAGCCCAAGTCTCAACTCTTGAGTACATAAGTATTAATATTAATACAAGACATTAGACAGTCATTGAGTCACAAACTCACACAACACTACAGCAGCCAACACGGCAAGTGCAACAGACCACAAGTTTTGAAGTAAATAGTCCAACAGGAGCAAACTCCAAACATAAACAGACCAGCAGACCACAACTTAAATGCCATAGAAATCATGCTCATTTGCAGCTGACCCTGACCCATGCGCATCCATTTCTCCATCACTGTCCGCAACATCATCGTCCTACAATACAAGAGGAATCATCAGACCAACTGCAATATCAAAATTTGTGATCAACCTAAGACAATGCTACTGACTACTCTCACTTATGGCTATCATATCCTATCATGTTCACAAAAAGTAGACCAACAGGTTTGTAAATCAAATTTTGAGAAGCACAAAATTATGTTACCTCAATAGTCAACTTTTTTACAAGGGCCTCAATAACTTCAAGATCACAAACAATGGAACCAACCTTCTTTTCTGAAAATCAAACAATCAAACAAGACAAAATCAACAAATATGATTAAGAGATGTTGTACATCAAACTCATGAAATGTTATATTGTAACTAACCTCTTCTTCCTGCAGCAATCCAATCTTTCAAGCATATCAAAGCTTCAACGATTTCAGGTTCAAGGCGGTTACGGAAAGGATCAACTACACGTCCACCAGCACTAAAAGCTGATTCAGAAGCGACAGTAAAGACTTGTACAACCAGAAAATCATGAGCTATTCTTGAAAGAGCAGGATACTCATCAGTCTGGTTCTTCCACCATGCCAAGACATCAAACTGACCACTAAGCCGGAGAGGTGGATCTGCCATATACTTATCCAACTCATTCATTTCAGCACTATTCGGCCCACTAGACTCATACATGTAGCTCTCTAGTTCCTCATCTCCATTATCCACTAAAAGGTCCGCTGTATCAATCTCCATATCACTAGGTGCATTTGATTTGCCTTTATGCCCCGAAGACATGGGTGCATCATGAACATAGAACTGGTACAGTTTCTTGATGACATCAACAAGTTCATCAACATGAACATGAGATGCATTTCCATGGAATTTTCTCATGTAGAACTCTATAAGCCTTTTTTTATACCTAGGATCTAGGAAACAAGCAACAACAAGTGTGATGGATGACTTCTTCCAATATTTTTCAAACTTCATACTCATAGAAGTAGCCATTGTACAAATAGTGTTATCTTGACTAAGGGACCATTCATCTAGCATAATCTTTATCTCACAAAACCCTCTATAGAACATATTTGCAGTGGGGTATAGAGTACTAGAAAATAGTTCAGTGAGATCAAAGAATTTCTTCAAGCATTGGAAAAGTTTGAATGCCATAGCCCATTCACTAGGAGATGGAGTAATGTTTTCATACCTACGGCGATCTGATGATTTTAACCTCATGAATGCATTCTTATAGTACAAGGCATCTCGGAGCATCAAATATGTTGAATTCCATCTTGTTGATACATCAAGCGACAGGCCCTTGTTTGTATCCAGTCCACACTCAGTTGCACGCTTCATGAGTTCTTCCCATTGCAAGGGAGATCCTTTAATAGCAAGAACAAGATGTCTAATATTCTCAATTGTGGGTGTGATTACACTCAAACCATCCCTAGCAACTAGATTTAGTATGTGACAAGCACACCTCACACGAAAGAATAGGCCATCACATACCAAAGATGAAGCACTAGAATTAGTCCTCAGATCAGATATGATGTCTTTGACTGCAACTTCATTTGTTGATGCATTGTCCAAGGTCAGGGCAAACAATTTCTTGTCAATATTCCACTTAACCATGAGTTCAGTAAATGTCTCTGACAACTTGGCACCAGTATGATGGCCCTCTACATGCACAAAGTTCACAATCCTTTTCTGAATACACCAATTTTCATCTATCCAATGAACAGTGACACACATGTATGATTGTTCTGATTTGAAGTCCACATGTCCATGGTGGCACTGAGCCGGCAAGGGACATATTTGAAATAAGAATACAACTTCTCCTTTTCCTCTAAGAACATGTTCATAATTTCTTTCCTAATGGTAACTCTAGATTTGATTGGAAAGCTAGGGTGTAGTGATTTGATGAAATCAACAAAATACTCGTGCTCAGATATATTGAATGGATACTCATGCATGACTATTTCCAAGTAAAACTTTCTCAAGCTGGCTTCTTCATCATACTTGTATGTTACAACAACTTTGATTTCTTGTGCACCGTCTTTTTCCCCCTTTAATTGTTGCCCTTATATACACTGTGTGCTACCCTCAGATGTGTCCAGAAACCTGTTGTCCCATAATTTCCCTCACATCTGGCCTTGTGCTTGCACTTTGGATAATTGCAATGAGCCCACTTCTGAATATAAACCTTCCCATTATCCTCAGTGACAAGCTTCTTTTTGGTAAAGTACTTCCACACACCAGATGTGCACCTCTTTTGCCTCTTTCCATCTGGTTCATCTTCATCTCCACTTGGCGCCTCATCACCTTCAACAACGATGGCATTTGCAGTATTTGCTCTTTCTTGTCCACCAGGATGGTTAGCACCAGTAGCAGCAGCATCAACATTGTGGCCACTAGAACCAGAACCTACAGCAGCAACTCCACTCACACCTCCACTTGGCAAAGAAGATGCATCGGTTGCTGTTGCTGGGCTAGATGAAGGAGTTGCACTAGACAAACACAAACCAAGACCTTGACTTTGACCAGGCTTCCATTTGTTGAACTTGACCTCTTAGATCCTACCAAGATAAAAATAAAAAATATACATCAGTGAAGTACTACTGTGAAGTAACAAGAGCATCAGTGAAGTACTAGATCAGTAAAATTAACAAGAGCATGATGGCTCATTAGTCAATAGTGATGTACTGAATCACATCAGTTAAATATACATCAGTGAAATACTCCCACAAGTTTTAGTCGTTCTTTATAATTCGTCACTGCAAATGAAGGCAACAATTATTGAATTCCAGATGCTGAAGCTGTGATAGCACGAAAATCAACAACGCTGTTGGACTGATCTGTAATAAAAAATACACACCACTTTAGCTAATAACTAACCAATGCTTTGGTCATCCACGGAAACAGGGGTGTGGAAGTATTTGAAACAAGAGATGAGATAAAAGCGAATTTAAAAAACAATGGAGTAGCTAAAGATTCTGATCTCTCTTTCATGGAAAGTGTAACATAAATGTGAATTTTAGAGTCATATTGACATGTTTATTTCTGCAAGTTTATATTTTCTTGCTATTCTCCACCCTCTCTCCAACATAACTGGCTCGCAAGCTAGTTATAAATGAGACCTGTGAAGCATAGATAGATACTGATATTGAATTCGTACTTTTTGGCCTGGGATTTATCTCATTACGAATTCTTTCAATGCAAGACCAAAACCAATAACATCAAACAATCGAACCCTCTATCTGATATTGAATAAACCTCCTCACAATCCAAAGAAAAAGAAGATATCTCCAAGAACCAATACCATCATCTACCATCATAAAAGGTCAAATAACCAATAATGCTACTGAACAAATGAATCACATACAAATAGCAAATATAGCTCAAAAAAAGTAACTGGATCTTCGTATATCAGACAGATTTACACCTGAAATAGCAAGCCATGCCTTTTTTTTCGAAGTTTTCTTTTGTTGGGAGAGAAAAGAGCACCTTTTCAAGGACAATGAAGAAGACACGATGGAATCCCGTTTTAACAAGAGCAGATTTGGTCTATGTGATGTACTGAATCGCATCAGTTAAACCAATCGAATCAAATTAACAACCAATGTGTTCTCACAAGAGAACTAAATCTACTCCAATTGATGAATATGTGTACAGTATACTGGATTACTAATGTGAATCCGTGATTGATATACCTGTTGTTGGGTTTGGAGGAAGAATGGTGACGTTGCGCACCACGACCGGCTGTGGTGGCTCCAGTTGGAGCTGACGCTTGGATGCAGACGAGGCAGCAACAGAAGCGGAAGCACGTCCAGGTCCATCTCCACCTGCAATTGGCGACTGCTGCTCCATCTCGTCTCGCTGTCGCAGGCGGCGACCGGCAAGCTTGGGACGGCCAGACGGGCGGACGGGAGGCGTTGTGGCAGTTCACGACGAACCACGGACGGGCTGCAACTCGTGGTGGACTGGTGGCTGCTAGGGTTTCAATTTCATCTTTTAACTGGTTTGTCGTGTTGGGCCGTGGGCTGTCGGATGTGGGGGTGGGGGAGTTAGGAACGGACTTGGGCTGAATGGGTCGCTGGGCTAGATACGAGGTTTGGGCCGTTTGGCCACTGTAATATACGGGAATACCGCGGTAATTTTCCCGCCCAAATACGGGATCCGCGAATACGGTCGGGAAATACCCCTTCCCGAATTCGTTCCCATTCCTGTTCCCATTTTTTTTTCCTGTTCCCGTTTCCTATTTTTTCCTGCCAACACGGAATACGATCGGTATATTCGGGATACGGCATCGGTCGGTACGGGATTTTCCTGTTCCCGCTTTCATCCCTACACGTTTTCAAATAAGGTCAAATAACATATGATCAAATAATTACTTAAATAAATTTATTAATATCTGCAGTATTTTTCATTGATATTTATTATAATAAATTACAAGATTGATTTTCGTTATTTATGTTGATAATATTTTTGGTCAAGATAAATATTATTTTATTAATATTGTAATACTTTCATTGATATTCATTATAATAAATTACAAGATTGATTTATGTGATCCATGTTGATAATATTTTGGTCAAGATAATATTACACCAAATTTTAAGTTCTAACCATATTAATAGGTTTAATTTTCACAAATATTCACTTTTTTATCCAAAAATATTTATGTAAAATCGTAACAGGTTAGGTAGAATTATTTTTCCAAGTAATCAGACAAAATCAAGTTGGTGAATTAATCTTTGCCAATATATTTGTTTCTTAAGCTTTATTTTGTTAAATATAAAAAATAAATCGTTCTCCAAATTAATATAATTTACCATTTAAGATATAATGACCAGATACAATAAAAAGCTTT